TGGAGAAATTTATGTGAAATGGGTCTTATTCTTCATTAAACACTTAGTGGAAATCAAGAGTAAAGAAATTCCTAGTTTGAAGTTATTTTGGTAGTAAGATTCTTAATTATATATTTAAATGTTAAATTACCATCAGACTTATTGGAATGTTTTTTCCCCTATATCAAGTTTGGTAAGATTTGTTTTTTTTAAGTCTTTACCATTATACCTAAATTTTAAAATAATTTAACACAAAGGCTTTCATACTATTCTTCTATTATCTTTTACTCATAGTGGTTTCCCAGTCTTCATTCTGAATTTTAGTGCTTGGTGCTGCTTAGTTTTTTTTTTGTTTTGTTTTTGTTTTTGTTTTTTGTTTGTTTTTTTAAATAAATCTTATTAAGGTTTTATCAACTTCATGTTGTTTCCAAACAAAGCAAAACTTCTGAGTTGGGTTGATTGTTTCCATTTTAGATTTACTTTTAGTTTCATTAATTTCTTCCATAATCTTCATTGCTTCCTTCTTTTTCTGAGGTTAATTTCCCACCAACATTGATGTTTAGAGAATCCATTTTCAGTTTTTCTTCTCTTCTGTGTACAATATGATTACAAAGTTCCATCTAAGCACAGATTGAGCTATGTTCCTCAAGTTTTGATTATTTTTTACTTACCATTCATTTTCTCTTATTATCTATTTTTCATTTACCCATTGCTAACTTAGGAGTCTTTTATTTAATTTCTACACATAAAAGAATCTTCTAAATTTTATTTGTTTTTAGCTGAATTCTACTCTGAGTATATGTGATTTCTTTTTTTTTTTTAAATATATTTTATTGAATTTTTACAGAGAGGAAGAGAGAGTTAGAAACATCGATGAGAGAGATTCATCGATCAGCTGCCTCTTGCACGCCCCCTCCTGGGGATGTGCCTGCAACCAATGTACATGCCCTTGACTGGAATCGAACCTGGGACCTTTTAGTCCTCAGGCCGACATTCTATCCGCTGAGCCAAACCGGTTTGGGCAGTATGTGTGCTTTCAATACCATAAATTTGGTTACATTTGTTTTATAGCATGTGATCCATTTTGGTAAATGTTTTATGTATACTTGAAATAGTATTGATTAAGATGTTGATGAGTTCAGTATACTAAATAGGCCAATTAGGACTGATTTATTAATCAAACTGTTGAAGTACCAATCACATCGTAATGAATGTTTATAACAAAATGGGGATATAAAGGTGAGCCTCTGAATTCTAATCACTCCCTTTTCCCTTGTGAGCTAAATGTGATCCGCTGTCATCTGGACCAAGAAAAGACTCCAGCTTTGATTTGTATTTTAATTTAGAATTTAGTACTTAGAATTTTATATTTTTCTGTTTTATACCTTTAAATCATTATTCAATGATTTCCTCTAATCCTAATCTTGGTTTTGTCTTAAAGTGTTTTTTTTTTCTTTTTTTTTTTCTCATCTTAATGTAATTATACTAGACTTCTTTAAGTTAATAATTTTCTTATATATTTCTCCCATAGTAAACTCTGATGGCTTTGAAGACTAGCACTTTATTTGAATTACTTTTGTATCAGTGTGCTACAGAACATTCAAGGTCACATTTGGTGACCAGATTGATGCCATTGAAATAGTTAAAGTAAATATATATATCAGTATATTCACCAAACTTGATTACTAATAATAATTATTTTATTTTAATTAATGTCTGAAATCTACAGAATCCACAAACACCTCAATTCATTCAATAATTTTTTTCTTAAATCAAAATTTTAGAAAAATAATTATAGGTGCTAACAAGCAGCAAAACTGTGCATAGAATAATTGGCATTTTTTGTTGTTGTTTGGTAAAGAAAGGCAATTAGCAGAAAATGGCAAATAGATAAGATGCAGAAAGAGGAAGTTGGGAGCAGTAAGAACTTCACACAGGGAAGCAAAGACATTGGGATCACTAAGAATCCATTCCATTACAAATCCCAGCAATCTCTCAGAAGAGTTTCTTGGGACAAGCAATTAAAGCAGGTTACACATATGAAAAGAAAATGCTTTGTTTTTTATGAGTGGAAGAATTGGGAATAATAGAGATTTTTATGGGTCAGTACCTTGCTAACCAATGAACACCTTACTATTTAATTTAAGTTTTTTTTAAACCCTTGGATTAATGCAGAAGCCATTGGAAACTGCTGGACTCTCACAGATCATCCACAGAGATGCCTCAGTTGCCAGAACTCATGTGCAAATAAACAAGACATCTGTGTCCCAAAGTTTGACTTTCACTCTCTGTGTCTAATGAAGCTGAGAGCAAAGGCTCCTTCAGAAGAGGCTGACCTCAGAAGGTTCTGGCACATCCCCAGTCTGGGAAGGACTAACTGGATTTATATGCACGGATAGGAAAGAGCCACTCAGCACCTGGTGATAACACCGCATTCAATCAAGGGAAATTAAATTCTAACAGGATTAAAGAAGTCAGCAGTTAATACATAGGAGCAAGATTTCCCCCAAGCCGACATGCACATTGAAAGCCTATCTTCTTTGGGAGAAACTGCTAAGAACATGACACAATGCATTAAGGAAGGAAGCAGCTTAAAATATGGGCTGAAATTTTAGCTTTTCATTCTGGCATGACAACACAGATTAGTTCTGAATCTCCTAAGATTTATTGCCCTGTTTGCTAGCAATGAATGCAAAAACATGCATTAAAATAACACTGTGAAACCAAACCAAATAAACTAAAATTACATATCAGATTTGTAGTGTGACTATCACACATCCGCGCACGTGCACACGCGCGCACACACACACACACACACACACACACAGGGAATATACCAAAAATATCAAATATGGAAATCATGAATATATTTCATTATCCCAAATCAAGGCTCTTTAATACTTTGTTGTTGTGCCTCAGAGATCTAGCTGTTTCCTATCAATGTTTCTGCACTTCTCAATTTGCAATTTTTATGAAACAAAAAGGATGCCCACAGTTTATGCAAATCAAGAATCAACATTTCCCTAACCGCATTACAAGTGACTTATCTTTCTTCCAAAAACTCTATCTTCCAGGGAGAAGAAATATACCAAGCTTTTATGGGCACTGTCACTTCCTCATGTTGCTTCCTGCCATCATTGTGAAGTTTAACCAAGGACTGTGCTGCTTTTCGGTTGCTTCTTTCTCCTTGTAAAAATTGACTTCAGGCAACTGGATGCTCCAGCTTGTCAAACAACAAACCAGGATTGGTGAAGTGCCCAGGCTAAAGGATAAGCTTGTCCTTGAATAGGTCATGGCTCAGTTGAACTTGCCTTTCCCTGGGGACAATGGTTCCCTGCCAAAAAAAAAAAAAAAAAAAAGACTGGTTGTTTTGCTCATATTCTGTATTTTTCAGTGAGAGAAGGAAATTGATCTCTGTGGTAGACTAATTACATTAATGGTCCCACTATTGGCCCCTACCAGTGTCCTCACACTCTTCCCTGCAGCATTATAGTACCTTCTGAGTTTGACTCTGAGATCAATTAGTTTTATATAATTTCTTTTGGCCAGTGGGATATTAGCAAGTGTGATGCAAGAAGAGGCTTAGAGAGTGCTTGCATATTGCGCTTGCTTCTGTTGCTATTTGCAATGTCTTAGGGAACATATCTAGCATGCCTGCTGGAGGATGAAGGACATGTAGCTTAGAGCCAAGTTAACCGAGCTGAGCCCATCAGCCCATCCTAAATTAGTCAATAGCCAGTGTCACGCATTTATGTGTGAGTCCAACCAAGACCAGAAGACTTCTTTTATAGCTTACAATCAAGGTTTCGTTTCCCTGTGAATAATCTCTTTCCTCCATCAGCCCAGACCATCAGAACCATAATTGTTTCTTGAATAATCTTTCTTGATAGAGAAAATACTTTTCTAGAGAGGGAGGAGAGAGAGGGGGACATTTCCCAAAGCCCTCTCTGGTCACTACTCCTCATTTTCTTGCTAAGTTTCTAAATGCAATAAAAATAAATATGATTAAGTAATTAGGTATTCACCCAGCTTAGATCAGTCCCTAACTGGACATGTTGTTAAATGCTTTATTACACTAGTAAGGTTTGATAGAGACATTTTTGTTTCCCTTTGAAGAATTTTTTCTTCATAAAAATTGAGATGACTTAAGAATCATTATATATTTAGGTCTATGTTCCCACAAATTATGCTGAAAGAATCAGATTGGAGAAAAAATTAACTTATTTTAAAGGTGCTGAATCATCTTTATGGTAATAGTCAATTGTGTGACAGAATTAGTCTGTTATTTTTATAAGATAGCACCTTCATTACCTTAAGTTGTATGGAGAAAAAAAGTGTTCTTAACTAGAAGGTTAAATTTCATTGTTTATTTCCAATCATTGAAATATTGTACAATCAGATTGTGTGAAAACAAATCCATGTGCATGCTTTTTATAAGAGATACACCCAAAACATATGGGCATTGAAAAATTGAATATAAAAACACTGGGAAAATATATAAAAACACTTGGCAAGTATGAACCAAGTGAAATCTGGAATAATTACATTAAACTAGAAGCCCAATGCACAAAATTTGTGCAGGGGGTGGGAGGCGTCCTTCAGCCTGGTAGTCCAACATCCCTCTCGCAAGCCTGTCCCCTGGCTCCTAACTTCCTGCCTGCTGGCTCCTTACTGCTTGGCTCCCTGCTCCTTAACACTGCTGCAGAGGTGGGAGAGGCTCCTGCATTGCACATCTGCCCCCTGGTGGTCAGTGCCTGGTCATTCTGGTTGTTCCACTGTAAGGGTTGCTGGGCTTTTATTATATAGATAAGTCAAAAAAGAATTTAAGATAAAAAATAAAGTTAGAGATAGAAATGGTCTTTGTATAATGATAAGAAAATTTAAAACAGGAGACTAAACTTGTATACACATGTCAAAATAGTCTCCACAAAAATATATTTCTGGTAGACTAAAGAATTAATTTTCAAAGGCAAAGTAAAGTATTTGGAAGAATATATATATATCTTTGGAGAAGGAAGGCTATCTTTTTTGTTGTTATTAAAAAATATGGATAACTTCCTTGTGCAGGGGCCGTGCTAATCTTGTCTGTATCATTCCAATTTTAGTGCATGTGCTGCCAAAGCAAGCATAAGAAAGGTATCTTAAATATGTCACAAAGTGCTAAACAAAAATAATATATTTGACAAAATTCAATTAATAAATTTTAATAAAAAATATCATAGGGAAAATAAAGACATGCCTCAGACTCTAAGAAGATAATTGTAACATATATCATGTGTCAATCAAGGTGCAGCACAATTAATTATTATATATTTGTACAATAGAAAATTAGTCAGTTGTGGAAATAAGTAAGATCTACTTCTTATAACAAAGGGATGAATTTAAAACAAGAATACTATTGAGTGAAGAAAGCCAGTATCACAGAAACTTTTATATAATACACTTTTAATAAAAGCAAGCTAAATAATGCATTGTTTAGGACTATATACTTAGGAAACAAGCTAATTTTGACATTGCAAAGAGATATAAAAATAAAATTTAGAATAATAGTTATTCCAATGGTTGATGAAAGACAGAGAAGGAGAAAACAGTGATTGCCTCAATAATAATAATAGCTTAAATAAAATAGGAGAAGTTTAATGAGTTGTTAGCACTCTGCTATATGTTTTACTTATATCATTTGTATGCATGAAACATTACATATTGAAAAAATAAGTGCATCCAAACTGGGTCACAACAATTTGCAACTTATCAAAACTAATTACATTAAATTCAAAATAATAAAAAATGGCTACAGAACTTTACATTTCAAAAGTCTAGTTAACCTTTTGAAAAATGAATTCAGTTAATAGTTTCAGGTGGAAGCTCTATATATGAAAAGTATTAAGAAAGTCGAGACAGAGAATGAGAGAGAGAAAAGAGAAAATAGAATACTTACCATGCTCTATATTTTTGATATGATAAATCATGCTTTTTGGCATTATTTTTTATCCCACCTGCTTCCCTAAAATGATAAGGAATGGAGTCAGTTGGATTAGAAGCATTCTTGGCATTTGCTATTCTGAATGTATTTTCCATCTTGAAGTCACTGTGCGTGAAGCCAGGAGCAATTACTTTTCAAGTGGATACAGAGTCACCACTTTTCAAGGTGTCATTGTCCTGCATTTCATCAGAACTGCTTGAGCCAGCCAGAGAGTCACAAGCCAGGTATTACAAATAAATAGGGAATTGGAATTCTTTTCATCTGCAAATCAAGGAAATGCAAAATTGAGTTCTGACTAAAGAGGCAGCTCCCTCTTTCTGAGAAAAGCATGTATTCCAACTGTTCTGGTGTAGTGCAAAGAAAGACTCATATTGGCAGTTCAAATACTTTTTTTAAAAAAATAGGTGTTTTCTATCTTTCCAATTAAGTTCCTTCTATAGAGAAACAATGGATTAACCATTTGCCAATTGACTTGTTTTTCTTATTCTTGGCAATCTTGATGAATAGCCAGTTGTCTGAAGCTTGATTTACTAGATCTTATAGCAGATCAGTTGTGTCCATAGGACAACCAGAGTGGGCTTGTTGCAGATAAACTGCCAGGCAGCTCGGGATTTTAATCAGATGGGCCCTCTGAAGGTATTTAGAAAGTAGCCTTTATTGCAGATACACTAATGCCGTGACTCAAGGAGTCAGTCTCCAAATTCTGAGTGATGACTATGGACGAAGCTTTCCCTTTATACCCTTTGTTTATTTGTCCCCCAAATATGGACCAGGTGTCCAGATTATTTATGGGCTTTGAAGCTTCCCCGTGAGTCAAATGGGGGAAGTGAGATTACACTCAGAGGTTTGGCCTACCTGGCATCAGCACTGCCAACCCCTGAGGGGGCTTGTATATGGTTGATTGTTTATGGCCTCTGTAAAATGGCAGTATTCTGGGAAACAGGTTCTGCAAGGCAGGACAGGCATCACAGATAAGAATAGAGTTAATTATCTGCTAGCAAGAGTTGTGTGGCAGAATGCAAGTTACAGGCACAGATTCAGATGACTAGGCCCCCCAAATGTCTTTTCACTTTCAGGCTGATGGCTGCTCAGCTCAGTGTTTATCGGTATGTAGGTCCCTGAGTACTGACACTCAGTATTGCTTAGATTCATATGCCCACAGAAAGTTCAAATGACTTTTGGATAATTTACTTGTTTAGAAGTTATGTTATCTTTTTACCTCACCTCTATCTTGACCCAAGCAAATTTGACTCCATGGGTAATTTTTTTTATTATCCTATCTAATAAAGAGGGAATATGCTAATTGACCCTCAAGCCATCACAAAGATGGCAGTACTCACAGCCAATAAGGAAGGAATATGCTGATTGACTTCTACACCCTCAACTATGATAGAGCCCACAGCCAATAAGCTAATTGACTGCCATGTCCTCAAAGATGGCGGCACCCACAGCCACAAATGGCGGCACCCAGTCCTCTCAGCACTGCTGGGCTGCAGTTGTACAGCAAGGCTGGGGCTGCCCCCAGACAGGCCTGGCTGTTCTTCATGACTGCCCAGGAGTGCCCCAATCCCCTCAGCCCCCTAGCCACTCAAGGCTGGCCAGAGGTGCAGGGTCATCTGAGGCTTAGGTAACCAAGGCCGGCCCAGGCTTGTGCTGCCGGCAGTGGCAGCAGCAGAGGTGTGATTAGGGTGTCGCTTCCCCTGATTGCTGGGTCACCTCCTGCCCCTAAGAGCTCCTGGACTGTGAGAGGGGGCAGGCCTGGCTGAGGGATCCCCCATTCAGTGCATGCATTTTCATGCATCTGGCCTCTAGTACATATATAAAATGTATAACTTGGTGATTTGATATACATATGCAGTTGAGGTAAAAATAGGTTTACAATTGTTCATATGGAAAATAAAAAAGTAATCCTATTTAATAAAAGGCTAATATGCAAATAAACCAAATGACAGAATAACCGAACAGCTGAACAACTGGTCGCTATGAAGGTCACCGACCACCAGGTTGGATTATGGCTGGTGTTGTCCATGACGGGATGGTGGAGCAGGTGAGTGGGGGTGCCAGACCAAGGAAGGGTGCTGGTTGCTGTCATTGGGGTGAGCCTCTGGTGTTTACTGAAAATTCTTTTGCTTCTGCACCCAGCTCTTGCACCTGCTGCCAATGCTAGAGCTGCTGCTCACATCCGCTGCTGGCTCTGGCCCAATTACTCTGCGTCATCCATGTGTACAAGCAGGCTGGCACCATTAGTGCATGGAAGTGGTGGCAGTGGGAGTGAGGCTGCCAGCAAATAGCAGTTTGGGGGCTGTGGTGGGAGGGGTCGGGTGGGGGCGCAAAGGATGGGCCGAGACCACCCTTATGCCCTCCACAGCCTCACAGCCCACAATGCCTTTCAAGGTGCACAAATTCATGTACTGGGCCCACAGTAAATAATAATATAAGAAAAAACTGCAGCACTCACAACTGTAAACCTACTTTTGCCCCACTCTGTACATTGTGTAATAATCTGCACAATAAAGCCAGTTAACAATCCATCACTTCACACATCACTTTTTTCCTTTTGGTAGTGACAGCACTTAGAATTAGCCTTCTTTGTAAATTTCAAGTACACAGAACCTACAGTCACCATGCTATGCATTAGATCTCTGGACCTTACTGGTCTTGCAAAACTGAAAATTGAATGACATCTCCCCATTTTCTTTTTCTTCTGGCCCCTGGTATCCACCATTCTGCCTTCTGCTTCTATGAGTTTGACTATTTTAGATTTCATATATAGGTAAGATCATACAGTATTTATCTTTCTGTGTCTGGCTTATTTCAATTAGCACAATGTCATCCAGGTTCATCCATGTTGTCACAAATGGCATAGTGTACTTCTATTTAAAGCTGAATAATATTCCATTGTATGCATATACCACATTTTAATTTTCCATTCATCTATCAATGGGCATTAGCTTGTTCCTAGATCTGAGTTATTATGTTTAACACTGCAATGAACATAGGAGTGCAGGTATCTCTTTGAGATACTAAATTTTATCTCCTTTGGGTATATACTCAGAAGTGGGATTGCTGGATTATCTGGTAGTTTTATTTTTGACTAGAGGCCCAGTGCATGATATTTGTGCACGGATAGAGTACCTAGGCATGGCTGGTGATCAGAGCCTATCTGTGGAGTGACTGGCAGGGTGGTTGGGGGCCCCTGCTGGCATCCGCCTTGGCTGTCCTGGCACCACCTGCTCCCAGGTACCACCCCTCCTCCCACCCCACCACCAGTCACTTTCTCTGCAGGGTGACCTGTGGGGCGATTGGACAATGCCCCCACCCCTGCTGGCACCTGGCCTGGCTGACCTGGTAGCCTGGAAGCTGGGGGCAGCTCCTGCATTGAGCTTCTGCCCCCTGGTGGTCAGTGTGCATCATAGCAACTTGTCATTCCATTCTGTAATTCCGTCATTTTGCATATTTGGCTATTATTATATAGGACACATGTGTCAAACACAAGGCCCGCGGGCCAAATCCGTCCCGCCAGGCCTTGCAATGTGGCCCGCACCACGCTGTCATCACTGCACTCCGCTGCGTTTCCATCACAATGACAGTTTATGACTGTTCAGTAAACCTTTCGGCCCGTGATTTAGGCTGGATTTTAGATTTTGACCCCTTCTCTGATTGAGTTCGACACCCCTAATATAGGATGTTTTGAGAAGCCTCCATATTATTTTCCCATTAAGGCTGTACCAATTTATATTCCTACCAACACTATACCAGGGTTTCCTTTTCTCCATATTCTCACCAACACTTATCTTTTGTTTTTATATAATAGTCCCTTCTTAACAGATTTGAGGTGCTATCTCATTATGAATTTGATTTGCATTTCTCTGATGATTAGTGATGTTGAGCACTTTTTCACATACCTCTTGGCCATTTATGTCGTTATTAGAAAAATACTCAGTTCCATTGCCTATTTTTAAATCAGGTTATTTGTGTGTTTGTGTGTGTGTGTTGAACTGTATGATAAATTCCTTATATATTTTTAAATTAACCCTTTATCAAATATATGGCTTGCAAATACTTTCTGGAGGTTGCTTTTTCATTCTGTCAATTGCATTCTTTGCTGTGCAGAATATTTTTATTTTGATATAGTTCTAGTT